TAACCCCAACATATACCCTAATAATGCCTATATGGCCCCAACATATACCCTAATAATCCCTAAATAACCCCTGTATAATCCCTAAACCCAACCGTCAAGCAACACTGGCATCCCAAGCACCCAACAGGCTGTTCAACCAGCGAGGACTTTCCAGCCGTTGCAGGCGTAGAAACGAAAAGGTGGAAAGGAAGAGTATAGGAGTAGGGTTTAGGGTTTAGGGTTTTGGACAGGAGTCTTAGTTTCTTTACAGGTACCTTCCAGGAATTGGGGGAGGGCACATCCCGGCATTGGAGCTCCCTCCCTCCACGAAAGCTTTGCATGAGCATCACGATCAATGTATGGCACTTGCGGCCTCCTAAACCCCAAACCCTAAACACCAAACTCTAAACCCCCAACCCTGAACACTACACCCTGCCTTTCAATGAGGCACATACCTTCTTCGTAGAGTCTTTGGCCCACACCTCAGCCAGCAAGGATCTGCCAGCCACAGGGTAATAGACAAAAACAGCCTGCACAACCCTAGTTTCGATTTTTCGCCGATTTAACTGCCCATGCATGTGATTGGCCGTTATTTGGGGGTGACATCACCCCCGTAAATCCCTACAGAATCCCTCCATAACCCCTTACACTCCCCACATAACCCCATATAATCCCTTTAGAAACCCTCCCTAAGCCCTTGAACTCCCTAGATAACCCCATATAATCCCTATAGAAACCCTCCATAACGCCTTAAACCCTAAACCCTAGACCCTGAACCCTAAATAGTAGTTTCCATTTTCTTTTCCGTTATCCCAATATATCTCCCTTAAGCCCCAAAACTTCGAGGCTTTGGCTTCTTCCGGGTGAGATGGGCGATCCGGGAGATGGTCTTCGCAGACGCGACCGGGGCCTTGGGTTTAGGGTTTGGGGTTTCGGGTTTAGGGTTTAGGGCTGCTCACTGATGTTTCCCTGATGGTAATAATGAACACGTCAGGGTATATAGGGGTAGGCTGGGTTCTATTGGCCTTTTATGCTGCAATAAATGCACCGTTGTACAATGGTACCAAACTGGAAAGCTTCTTCTCAGAAGGGTGTGGGCAAAATCAAAATTGAGCAGCGCACGATCCAGATCTTGCTACCTGCCGAAGACACACACAAGAGAAGGCACCCTAGAACTTACTGGTTCTTAGTAGGGAATACTAGATAAAGATTACATAGGGTTATATTACAATATAAACTCCTAGCATCCTCCTTAACAAGCCCTAAAATGGTCCCCTATTTAGCCCCCTTTAAGACTTCCCTTATTACCCCCTACTAACAACCAGCAAGGGGAGCTGAACACGCATGAACCAACAGCCTCTCGTCTTCTGGGCGACTGTGAAGCCTCGGCACTTGGAAGGAAGGCAAAGCCGAATTTGGGAATTCTCTTGGTGTCGGACCTTTTCTCCATGGTGTCAGGTTTAGGGTTTAGGTTTTCGCCGAATAGCATCCTTTTCACTGTCCCTTCTCTTCCTGGACGAGACACTGGAATTTACTTTCTATGCTTTTTTGATTCTCCGCGTATATACGACCTGTCAATAGGTCAGGAAAATCTCTATCTAGCATCCACTCACGGCCATGACAATCTTCGTGTGCTTTCCTAAGCCTGAACCCACAGCTCAGAACCAATCATAAACCCTAACCCCTAAACCCCAAACCCCGAATCCTACGTCCTGAACCCTAAACCCCAAAATCCTAAACCCAAATCCCTTAATGCCTAACGCCAACTCCAACCCCTGAGCTCGAAACCCCTAATCCCTGAAATCTAAACCACGCTAAAGCACGAATCCCTAAAACCCTAAACACTAATCCCTCAAACCCTAAAACCCTATAACCCTGAACCCTAAACGCAAATCCCCAAAAGCCCTCAGCCCTCCTGGGATTTCCCGGCCGAGGTTGGAGACGTGGGCGATTGAGGCTCACTCTGCGGAAGGGTGTTCGAATGCAGAGGCCGCGCAGACCTTGCCTGTAGGTTGAGGGTTTAAGGTCACATGTAGGGTTTGGGTTTAAGGTCTCATGTAGGGTTTAAGGTTTAGGGCAACGTGACTGAAAACTACGATTTTCTACCGATGCTAAGCGTTGTAAATGCCAAGTGTCCAACGTGCTGCCCGTCAGTATTACTGTGAAGAACATGGAAACTACAACCCTGATATCCTTTATATTCCACATTCCTTTCCATTTGATTCTTCCTTTTTGCGGTAGATAACCCCAGTATAAACACAATATAACCCCTCGAACAACCTTCTTCAGCCCTATCTCTACAATTCCCACTTATCCCTATACAACTCTCGTACAACCCCTTATAACGCTAGATGAGCTATAGTCTAAACTCCTAGCATCCCCTTAGTAAGCCTTAGAATGGTCCCCTATATAATACAACCCCCTTCAAGGAGTTTAGACTATGACTCATATAATCCTCTGGAACTCCTGCGCAACCAAAACTTTAATAACCACCCAATGGGCCTGCACCGAGCATCGAGAAGACCTTAGCCCAAGAACGTGTGGAGTGCATAAGTTATGTCATATGGGTTTAGGGTTTAGGGTTTAGGGTTTAGGGTTTAGGGTTTGGGTCTATATAGGGGTTATGGAAACCGTCAGAAACGGTATTACATATTACCCCAGAAATCGGAAATGAAATTGAGGATGACATGGAAACTGGGACAAACATCTGATTAGGGCTTCCCAAAAATTAGATGTCCCTTTTTGGGGCAGTCCCTATAAGAAGGATTACAGTATTTCGGGGTCTATATTGGGGTTGCGCCAGAACATGGGAACTACACTACCATATGACTTAACTGGGGAAATAACCACTTGTGGTCAGATGATGTAAAGAACTAAACTAACGTCCACAAGCTAACGTGGAAGTCCGCAACGGGCTCTAGAAAGAATGCCATCATTTTCAACAGCCCACCATATAAACATACATGTTACTTTAGGGGTTTAGGGGCCCAGTTTCCATTTTCAATTTAATGGTCCATGATCCAGTTGAGTATCTATTACTGGGGTAGCAGCATGTATCATTGGCTTTTCTGCACAGCTGCTTGGCCGGCTATCTGTACAAAGCTGCGGTCAGCCATGCAAACCCTAAACCCTAAACCCTAACACGAGCGGACTTCGGGGCGCACAGCCCTTGCCTCTCATGCTCGCTCTATCGGCCAGCTATCAACTACTTGGAGATTCCGAGGTAGCTCTGGTTTAGGGGTTTGAGGATTTAGGGTTTAGGCTTTGGTGTTTAGGGTTTGGGATTTAGGGTTTGGGGATTAGGATTTAGGGTTTAGGGTTTTAGGGTTTTGGGGGTTTTGCAAGCAGCTGCTTCCAGCTTCAGCTCACATGACCCATGAACCTCCAAGCAGTTCACATCGGATCAGAAGGAGTCAACCCGCATATCGGCTTTTCTCCACAAGTGCGCGTATTTCCTCCAACACACACAGGGGGATATAGGTGTTGTATAGGGATATATAGGGGCTTAGGGATTAGCATTCAGGGTTCCCTAAATACAAGACAGATATAGGGGTTGTCTAGGGATATATAGGGGTACATAAGGATTTATAGGATTTGGGGATTAGGGTCTAGGGTTTCCCTAAGTTATGGGTAGCTTCCCGGGGCTCCCTGGAATATAGCATGTTGGGTTTATATTGGGTTTCCCTGTTTTTGGGAACTCCTTAATCTTCCCTCACCCTCAAATGACTTCCGTTCTGAAAGGAAGGAAAACATTCTTGAGAATACTCCTCTCATCCTTTTCCTAACCCTGCAACTACAGAAGGAAATCCATTTCTGCTAGAGCCTTCCTCTGCCAAGTTGACCCAAAGTGGAGGTTCTTTTTCACACGCTAAATGCCTTCCAAGTTTCAGTTAGTTTCAATAACGATCTTCACAGCTTTCAATTTGCTTCCATCGGCTTCGAGGCTGCAACAGTACGTGACACTGACAACAATAGTGATTGGAATAGTACTGGTAGCAAGAGCGGTGATAGCAATAGTCAGAATATACAGAATGACAATAATGGTGGACACAGTGGTAATAATGATAATAACAATAATAATAATAGTAGTTCTTCTCATACAGATCATAATAATAGTACTGAGGCAGGGCGAGCTTCCTCTGGCACAGGGCAAGGCGGGGTCGGGTTCACCAGTGTGATGACCTGCGGCCTATCTACAATCCCATTGTTGATGGCTGCGATGGCAGCAAGAGGCTGGATGAATTCATAAGCTCTAAACTGCCTAAACCCTAAACTCTCAACTCCCTGAACTCCCTAAACCCCAAACCTTGAACCCTACCGAATGCAAGTCTCCTTGTCGAGCTTCAGAGTGCAGACATTCATGCCGAAGTGCTCCGCCTGAGGGACACAAAACCATTTCTCCCACAATGCATGGCACAGCGACATGAAGAGTTAAGGGTTTAAACGTTCTAGATCTGCCCTTCTCAAGGAATGGGTTTAAGGTTTGGGGTTTCAGTGGGATCAAGCAGCGGCCCAAGAAAGCTGAATGATTCTTGGGTCCAAGTGGATCATCCCCAAGGCAGCGGAACTTTGCTTGTTCACCCCCTGCACGTCTGGCAACCACAATACAGGAAAGAAAGTAGCCAAGAATTACAGCAATAACTGTAAACATCATACAAACAAGAATTACAATCACACAAATTTCAAAAAAAATAATAATAATAATAATAAAAAAAAAAATAAATAACAGTAGTCGCAATCATGTGGGTGCAGATGCAATGTACAACCACAGAGGCTTCATGTGTGGATGGGACTTAGGCCACGGAAACCTTAAACCCTAAACCCAAGCCGCAAACACTAAACCCTATACTCCTTAAGGGAGGCCTCGGTAAACACCAAGAAGAATCTCGTGCAAACCAGCTCTTCGACGCCGGCGACCCATATCCTTCACAAAGCTGACGGCGGGCAGATGTGGAGGTTTGAAGAGAGGATATAGCGGTTGTTTGGGATATGCAGGGAAATATATATATAAGGATATATAGGATTTAGAGTTTAGGGATCAGGGTTTAGGGTTTCCCAAAATTAGGGGTACCTTTTGGGGTCACCATGAAAAGGATTACACTATATCCATTATGTTGGAGGCCCTTACTTCGGGAAACTATCATACGCCATGTACTTTCTGATGACGATGGAACCATTATCCCACTATAACCCTAAGCTGTCCATGATTTTCGCTATATAACCCCTATATCATCCCTATAGCCCCTATAGTCTCCATTCTATTTTCCATTACCTTAGTATGGTGGAACCCTAAACCAGAAACCCTAAACAGCTGCTGCTAAGTTGCTGCGAAGCTGGTTTGCGTAATCTGGTCGGGTCCTGAATCACCTGGAAGCAAAGCATGAAATCACACGGCTTCGTGAAAAGATGATTATAGGGATTATAAGGGGGTTATACAAGGATTGTAGGGTATATGGGGTTATATGGGGATTATAGGGTATGTAATGGGGATATCTAGGGATTATAAGCTACCAGGAAAGCAAGTGAGACACAAAAGTACAGCTACCTCGCACACCGCCATCATGACAAGGCCACGCTGGTTTTCGACAAAGCGATTACCTAAGATGCCAAGTGCTTTGACGGCAGCTTGAACATACATTCCTCGTTTTCCTGCCATGGGGTCCAATTATTTGGTCGCCCCTAGACCCTGACTGAACCCCAACTCCCAAACCCTGAATCCTAAACCCTAAACCCTATTTTTTGCTGCCAACGGGTCCGGTTTTTTGTCGCTTGAGTGCCACCGCATCTCCACCCACCTTCTGCTCATGCCGGGTGTAGCCAAGCGAGGTTGCGCTTGCCTCAGATGGGGCGACTCAGGATTTGGGGTTAGGGTTTAGGAATTAGGGTTTAGGATTTAGGGTTTAGGATTTAGGGTTCAGGGTTTATGATAGATGGGGTGGCTTAGAGTACGGGGTTTAGGGGTGCAGGACTTAGGGCTTAGGTTGGGGCTACAAGACATGATGCCCAAAAAGGCAGAATCAAGTGGAAAATTGAATGGATGTATATGGAAACATAATTATGGGGCTTCCAAACAAGAAGAGGGAGGTTCCTTTTCTGAGACTCCCTATAGTAAGGAGTATGATTTTATGGTGTCTCGATTGGGCCCCACATTTAAAAATCCCAGGTCAGTCATCTTAAACGACCCCCGCCCTCAGAGAAGGGCAGTCCACTTAGGGTTTAGGGTTTAGGGTTTAGCTGGCAACGCTTGATGCCAAGGTCCAAGAGTCCAAAACGGGAGAATCCGCCAACCATAAAACATCCGGAAAGCCACATCCATATCCCCAAAAGGATCTGTATAAGGATTATATAGGGGTTACACTGGACCTATATAGGGGATAATGGGTCTATGGAGGAGATCTATAGATCCTCCCAGGGTCTGGGCAATCCTATTTCCCCGCACTAAATGCCCGAGGCGTGGTCCTCAAGCCCTGAACCTGATGTTCCAGAAAAAGCGAATCACCCAAACCCCTGCACCAAGCGCAGCTTAATCCTGAACGTCTGCAGGCCCACCAAGAAAAAACCGTCCCCCCCCAATACCCTGCATGATGGCTAAACTATACCCGCAGAAAACCCTAAGCCCTAAACCCTAAACCCTACATCCTACATCCTTCGCCCAGTCTCAGTGGATAGGTAAATGCCAGGGCCATGGGCAGCTCCACAGGTCATCAGCTTGGTATTGGAGGCATTCCTGTTCTATTGGGGTTCTATTGGGGTTATATTGGGGTTCTATTGGGGTTCTATTGGGTCGAGGTGCGCTCTATACTATGGTACCCCAATAATGGAGAATCAAATGGAAAAGAAAATGGAAAATGAAATGGAAACTCCTTTTAGGGTTTTAGGGTTTAGGGTCTAGGGTTTAGGAGAATTGATGGGTTTGGATTCTATGGAGGATGATAGCAATCCTCATAGTTGAGCATCAAATGGAAAAGCAGGTAGAAAACATGTAGAAACTGGTGTGTACAGGATGTATTCTATGGAAATTCATCAGTGATCTGTTCAGAACCGAGTAAGATTCTCTTCTTGTAAAGTCCTGCGCCCCAAAAGAAGGGGTACTGTAATTCCATGTTGGCCATTGAAAGACTGCTCATCTGAAGGTTGAAGGGGTGCGGATTTGGAGGTTTAGACTGGAAGAGTTCCGATTCAGCGTGGAGGGCGTGAGGCTCAAGGTTCAGCACCTTCTGCTGTTCGGATCAAGGACTCAGAATGGGGTTTCTCTGTTTCCGGGTTTAGAATGCGGAGGGACCCCTAAACCCTAAACCCCTAAACCCTAAACCTTGCCAAGCAACTTGAGACCATTCCGCAGAATTGAATGCCAATTCTCAGACGAGCTGCCTGCCAAAGCAAAACTTGAAATGAGGCCGAAGCTGAGTGAGGACATAATAATTGCCTATGAGGGGGTCTAACTGAGGCTGCAACCATGAAATGCGAAGGAGGTGCCAAACTGCTTCTTCAATTCCTGCAGACAAGCGGATTCGGAGAAGTCGCACCTGAAACTGCTGACTCTTTGAGCTGCACTCAGTCCTGGAACCGTGCTTCCTGGCCAGCAGAAGGCAGAGCTGCGAAACACAAGCAAGAGCCCCAATTTGCTTGAAGGACGAAGGCCTTGTCTGGAGGTGCCGAGACGAGAAGGTATTGGAATGGTGTCCTGAAAGTGATTCCCCTTGACGTGAATCTCTTTTTGCGATTCTGAGGACTTGCTGGCAACGCGATTCTTGGCCTTGCTGTCGCTCCTTCGTCCCTTGCAATGCACCATGCAACGGTTAAGCACGCCCGTCCTGAAAGCTTCGATGCGCTCGTTGTCCTGGTGACTTGCACGCAAAAACTACTGTAACTGCTGGTGCTGCTACACCACCATCACCACTACAACCACCATCACCGCCACCATGATGGCGACGACCACGACGACGTCGACGACGACGACGACGGCGACGGCGACGGCGACGGCGACGGCGACGGCGACGGCGATGACGACGACTATTCTTTAGAACGCTATTACTGCTTCTACCGCTGAGCATATGACTACGACTTTTACGACCATTACTGCTNNAGCTGCTGCTGCTGCTGCTGCTGCTGCTGCTGCTCCCACTACTACTACTACTACTACTACTACTACTACTTCTTCTTCTTCTACTACTACTACTACTACTACAACACCTACAATCGCAGCCTACCATGGTCAGCATTGCAACAGTTCAGGTTTCTGTAAGAGCCCTTGCCAACCAAACTTGTGGCTTGCAAAGCCATAACTGGTCTCCTGCAAAGGCGCCAAGAAGGATCTGTTTGATGCAACAGTCCACTTCAGAAGGGCTGCGGCCTCTGCAGACATTGACGACGTCTTGGCCGACCAGGATGCACCAAGCTGGTTTCCCACACTTTTGCGGACACTTTGCAGCTCATGCACATATGTTTCCAGTGTGCCAAAATCTTTGCTCTCTGGATGCAGAACCACTCGCAGCTGCTCTCCCAAATACACGTTCGGATAAGGATCCAGAATCAAATGTCGTCGAGGAGATGTCGCAGCTGCCAGAAGCATGCATACAAGCAAGTCGACAACTTCCGCGTGATTATTCATTCCTTCAGCAGATGTAATCTTACTGCCAAACTCGCCGAACTGGTAGGTACAGAGTTCGCGCGGGCACACAGAGCGCATCATCATCGGGGGCAGACTGAACGCTGAGTCGCAAATGGCGCAATACTCGTGGAGAGTAGGCAGGCGCAGCTGCAAGTATCGTCCAAGACAGCAGAGAAATCCCATATGCTTGTCAGCAAGAGCTTGAAGCATGAGAGACTGCTTCTTCAACTCAAATCGACGGCACAGCTTTTCCGGGGTGTCTTCATCCATGGTAGTGTTGTCAACAGAGCTAAAGCTCTCCCAGGCACAGCTTTTGCAAACTCGACAGAAATCTGTCAAGATCTGCATGAGCTGCTTCTCAAGCCCAAATTCATCAAAACCCTCCTGCCTAATCTGCTTCAGCATGGAAGGCTCAACAACTCCGAAATCATATCCAGTCCCCGGCAGGCAAAGATCCACGCAAATGGGTATTTCTAGCTTCAAACTCCAGGCAGTGCAAACTGTGGAGGACAGGGCAGTACATTTCACTGGCACATAGAGTCTCACCCAATACGTCTTGGGGCACAACTGCGTGCTCCTCACAGACCCTTCACCAAACAAAGCTCGAGCAGCGTCTAGGTCTGCTTTCAGCGCAGGCTCGGGCTCTTTGTCTGTTACAATCCAGTCTGTTTCATCCTCGCTACCCTCCGAGTGTGAGTCATCTGAGTGGGGAACTCGCTTCGCCTCAGGCGACTTCAGCTCTGACATTACTACCAGGATTGTATCTTCTACCGTGCCTCTGCTATGACATTCGAAATCATCAGGCCCATATACGATCGTAGACTCCATGGGATATGGATCGGACACGAACATTGTGAAATCGCCATCCAGGCCCGCAACTTCGAATACGACCGTGTCTTCTTCCAGCTCCAGTCTCACAAGACGCTTTGTTCTGAGCACGAAGCGCTCTCGTGCTTGAAGGACATCATCCTCAAGGACTTTCTGCGAGCGTGCCATGACCCCAAACCCTGAACCCCTGAA